TCCGCATACCAAACAGGGATATCTGGTCCCGTGGCACTCCACCTTTTAACGGTATAGCTGTCTATACTGATGGTTCAAAGATGGAAAGTCGAACGGGGGCTGGAGTCTACTGTAAAAGTTTATGTATCCAAAGATCTTTCAGGCTAAACAGCGATTGTAGCGTTTTTCAGGCAGAGATTTTTGCTGTCAGAATGGCCATAGAGCTGTTGGAAAACAGAATCAATGAACGGGATGGACCGGTGACTATATATGTCGATAGTCAAGCAACCCTAAAAGCTCTAAATTCTTTTATAATCAAATCTATGGCTGTTCTGGAGTGCAAGATTGCCCTGGAAAAGGTAAAGTCGTTTGTCAAGCTCTGTTGGGTTCCTGGACACTGCAACATATCTGGCAATGAATCTGCCGATGAATTGGCCAGACGCGGATCTGAGTCAGTAGATCAAGAGATTAAGACCTCAGTGAAGCCACCTTTATGCCACTTCTTTCAAGTACTTCATAATCACTATCTTGGAAGATTTCAACAGAACTGGCTGTCTGGAAGGGGATGTAACATCTCCAAAAAGAATTGGCCAGTGAACTCAGAAAGGAGATCACGGTCACTCACATCCATGACGAAGTTGGACTTGAAGCCGTTGGACAGGCCATTGCAACATAAAGGTCATGACTTCAAAATGGGGGGTGACGACACTGAATACTGCAGGCTTTGACAAGATGAGGAAGAAACAGAAACGGTGGAACACTTACTCTGTCACTGTCCTACCCTGATCGGAGTAAGACATAGTCTTCTAGGTAAGCAAATTCTGCCCGATTTGTCATGCCTCTCCGAAATCGAGCCAATAGTTATTCTTCAGTTAGCCAGAAGACTAAAATGGCTAAGGGCGACACGCTGACTAAACCGTGGAGCAAACCAACTAACTCTTATATTTCCTATCTATATTCTACTCTAACCTCCCAACTCATTTCACTTTCATTTTTTCCAAATTAGGATGATCACAATGGGCCAATAGGTCTCCGAGTGGAGTGGTTGTTTTTACACAGCCACACATCCTTTAACCTAACCTAACCTATGACTTTGATAACATTATTCAAAGGATTTGTTTGGAATTGTACAATTTGGCTCATTATTTTTTTTCGGTATTTTGAAAGGTTTTTATTTTAAAATTTGAGAAAAATTTCAGACTAAGAATCTAGAAAAATCGAAATTTGCTTTTTCATATGGAATTTGAGTGGAATTGTTATACAGTGGCTTTTCGAATGGAAAAATTAAAAATTCTCAGTGGAAAATTAGTATAATCCCGAACATTTTGAAATTGATTTCGGTCGATGTAAATTTTAAAATTCGTTCTACAACTAGGCAAATTTCGGATAATTATAAAATTTATGATACAAAACGGTTTACGTGAATTTTGGGTAAGAAATAACGTGTCGTAAATGCGGACTTGAATCTCCCCGATATCGAATAAGATTCCGTAATTGCTTACAGAGGTCTTCGCTGCGTTGATGTCGTTTCATCGCCTGTCGTATTCCAGAATTTGAATACATCGAAGTTTCAAAGAAACCTCCGGCTTATGCTGCACTAGTGGCAGGGTGAAATTTCCTTTTTTGCCACATCCTCCTAAATTATTGTACTCGTTTCTCCACGGGAACACAATCTAAGCAAAATATTTCCTTCAAATACACAAAAATATAACGTATGCTTTCAAATGTCTTTTTGAGCCGTAATTTTTATTTGCATTTTGTAACGACCTTTGGGATTGACATTACATCGTGACTCTTTGACTGTGCTCTTGGGCGATCCGTACATAATTTATTTTACTTTTAGAGACATAATTTTTTTTAAGGTGTCCCAGTATATTCTTTCAGAATTTTTATTATATCTAACTCCCACGAATTTCGAGATATCCATGTGTTGTCACCAGAGTTTCAGGTTTAATGATTGAAAGACTTGACTTATATTTTTAAATTTGCTCAGATATTATAGAGATAGTTACATATATTAAGTCAAAGGAATTTGATTAACAGTGATCTTTTTAATACAGTCCACCTTAAACAAGAGATGTGGTGATCAGACCTTTGAGTCATTAGAAATAAATAATAATTGGAGTTAGATTACAGGATGTAACTTTACTAAGGCTGATAAGCAAATGCAGCATTCAATTTCTTGCCAATTGTGAGATAGCTATATGTGTTTATAACCTCCTATTAAGATCTGGCGTCATGGTGCATAGAGATGTGTACATTTGATATCTCTCTCTTTTACACTTAATGTTATAGTTAGTTATTTTTAACATGGAACCCCTAAGTATTTTACATTTATTCGATTCATAATAACAAGGATAGAGGTAAATTAAAAGCCTTTAAAGGCGAAAGTGAATAAAAAATTAGTTTGGACTTTTCTATACAAAAGGGATTGTTTGTGTCATTCAATACATCACAAGTGTCGCAATGAAAAGTCTTTACAATTTGGTAATTTAGTTTACTAAAGTAAATCAACCATACAAAATGAAATTGAAGTTTTTTTATACAGGGTGTTTTCTTTGATTTTTTTTAAATATGAATCACTCTGTCGCCTGACAGCTCTTTTGACAGTTTAAAATTACACCTTTCTCACTATTGTTTTGCAAATTATTATGAACAGGTTAGCTCTAGAACAATGCTTCCGAAGCATTATTTCAAAAATAGTTTTTTTGTGAATAGTATGGTGCCAAAATTCTCTTCAGTGATGCAAAGATTGTGTATTATCTTTTGTGCCGTTTAAGAAATGCCAATGCATCCAGATAAATGCACTGTTTGGTACGGTCTATGGGCTGGCGGAATCATCGTTCCTTATTTTTTAAATTATTAAGAATGAAGCAAATAGAAATAGATGGAGAATCATGATCAATGGATTTTTGTTGCCAAAACTTTAAAATATGGATGTAAACGAAATGTGCAATTTGTCAGGATGGTGCAACTTATCATACTGCGGGCGAATCAATGGACTCATTGAAAGAACATTTCAACGACAACATTTTTGAACATTCGTATGATTTGACGACAATTGATTACTTTTTGTGGGGATATCTAAAGGCATTGGTTTACGTGGATAAATCAGCAACGATTGACACTTTGGGAACCAATATTCGACGTATCATCGCTGAAATACGAAGTATTGATTACACTGACGTTTTGAAGCGGTCTACACATTTGCCACTGCATCCAATATACATTCATATCAATTGAAGTCTTTTATAAATGAACTGAGCAAATATTGCATTTTGTGTTTTGGGTGAAAAAACAACTTAGTCATATTAAGAACTCGATATGGTGAAAACCCGTTACGTTCCTTTCATTTTACTAGATTTTTCTTAAATTAAAATACACCTATCCCTCGATTTACACGATTGATACGTTCCGGAATAAATCGTGTAAATCGAAATTTTAAATTTTTATATGAAAAATCGTGTAAATCGAAAATTAACGCAGCAGTGCATAAAAACTGGATTTTATCAAGTTATTATAAATGTATTTGATATACAGTTAGTTTAAACAATATAAACGCATTAAAATAAACATGAGATCATTAAACAAAAAAAAAATATTCATTTTGGAACAGAAAAGAATTGTAATTCGATCTTTTGCAGTCTTATAGCCACTAGCAGATTTGATGGTGAGTGTACTTGATCATGAGTGTAAGAATGAGCTAAAATCAACTCAGGAATCTTTTCTGGATAACCTTGAGCAGCATTTATATCGTCTAACGATTGCTCGCCTTTTAGCTTTAAATTGTGTAAAGAATTTCTTTGTTTAAACTTTTCAAACCAACCATGGCTAGCACAAAAAACTTGTTTTGATTTTGACGTGGAAGGTAGCTGGTCATTTAGTTTTTCAAAAATCTGGATTGCTTTTATGGTGATTGCATTTGTGTCAATTGGTATGTATTCGCTTTTGTGTTTTATCTTCTATCCATATCATCAATGCTTTTTTTTTCAATTTCATTATTCCTCACGTAAAAAGTTGTACTCATACTTCCCTCAGTTCCAGCTGCAACACACTTTCTGATTGAGTCTTCGTTTTTTCTTATTGTTCTTATCGTAGCTTCGTGGATAGAATATGCATTGGAAACTCTTGTAACAGTTTCACCCTTACGCAATCGATCCAAGATTTGTATTTTCGTTTCCAAAGATATAACTTTTCTTTTCTTTTGTTTTCCTATTTTCTCTTTCGGCATCTTTGTATCGATGAATTTTAGAAAACCGCACTCACAAGTCTGTTGTTATTTCCCAATTTCGTTTTGATGTTTACATGTTATGTTGTTTGCAATAAGATGGGATTTCCCCTGCTAACGCCAACTTCGGTGTTGCCACATAAATCTTAGTAATCTACGATACATATTTTAAAATTTATGTGAGAACACATTGATTTAAGAAAAGTGTTGACAATTTACTTCAAAGTGCTAAAAGCGATTAAAATATTCAATAAAACCGTGAAAATTCGTGTAAATCGAGGTATTTCCTAAATCCCTCAATTTACACGAAATCCAAAAAAAAAATCGTGTAAAAGTGAAATCGTGTAAAAAAGTATCGTGCAAATCGAGGAATAGGTGTATTGTAAAAAGTGTAATTTGTTTTAGTAAATTTGAAATTACAAGACACTAGCTTCAGAGTTGTATTTTTCATAAGAAATTGCTATTATTACTTTCAATCTAAAAAAAAAAAAACCAAGTAAAAACGAGTTAAGGTCGGTCGCGTCTAACATGAGTATTTCGAAGAGTTACAAAGAAATGACCAATCGTGGGTACAAAAACACGTTTTCCATTTTGCGAAAAATAAAAACATCAAGTTCAAAGGCTTGTTACAAATTAAGGGAGTTTTTTTTTTTTTTTTGAATGTCGTCTTATTTTTCCCAAAATATTATATTTTTTTAATTGTGAGGTCTCTTATTTAATAATAATAAAAATTAGATGAAAACATAAAAGTCCTTTCGTCAATGCTGAGTATTTCGTATGTTTTAGTACTTACTTAATTATATTACTCGCATTTTGAGCAATTTCATTTTGAGTCACTCTTGTCAAACGCCGCATTGAATTGAAATCTTGTCCTATATCCCAAACTTCAATGCAACCCTTTTCTGTTAAAACATATATCATGTTTCGACTTTTATCAGTAGCCAAGCGGACGATTGGGTCGTTTTCCTTAAAAGTAAAAAATTATAGAAAAATTTTGAAGTTTTTAATACACACATACCGAAAAGACTTTGAGAAAACTCGGAACAATATATGATACAATGCCCTGAGAGTGATTAATTTTTTTGCAGCGTTTCCCAAACCAGCTTGACTCAGCTTGGTAAAATATTTCATACAAACAGCCATCCCTTCCTCCGAGGAAAATTCGACCGTTTTCCGTACCCATAACAATGTTAATGGAAACATTATCTGTGCTTAGTACAAATATAGGCTTGCTCATTAACTGCATCTCTTCAAATGTTGCAGTATTTTGTATATTACGCATTGGCGACGAAATAGTTTTTGTTGTGTCTCCAAACGTAACTCCTGAAAAGATAAACGCAATGTTAAATTTTTAGTCATCCAACAAGAGTTTTCTGAATTTGTATTAATTCCTACAATGAAAAATAAAAACAAATAAGTAAAGGCTACAGTCGGGCGGGCCGACCATTTGATACCCTTCAACATCACAATTTGCGGTATACATTTTTGCAGATCTTAACCCCATGTTATTAGAATGAAGATTTCACTAAGAAACATTCCCGTATCTACTACATAATAAAAGCAAATATTGAATCTAATTGTTCCCCTTTTCGAATAATGACCATAGATCTGAAACCAATATTTTCTAAAAACAAGAAACGATCTTTAAAAAAGCATCTGTATTTGACGAAACAAAATTGACTACGCAAATGCCTAGTTAGCTCCTTCGGAAAGAACATGAATTTCCCATTCAAACATTTTTTTCCATGCATGTTGAATATTTTATTTTCATTTCATTCTTGAAATAATGTTACATAGGCCTACAAAAGTTTTGTCTTATCTCATATATTTGTGATTTCGGCAATTTTGTTATTATGTTCACACAAAATTATGGTATATTTCATCAGCTAAATATTATCCTCTAACTTCATGTCGACTGCAAAAGAAAATTTTTAGAATTTTTGTCCATTTTAAACCCTAAATATTGTGCGAACATAGGCTTCTATTCTGGTCCTAACCTTAAACCCATGCAAAATTTCGTGTGGTTCAGGCGATAATTACGACTTGAATTTAATGCTATCAACACATAGTGTTGTAATATGAAAAAATTATTGCAAAATGTTGAATTCAATGTTGTAAATCAAATTAAAAAATATTATACTATAAAAATAATGACAAAAAAAACAATATCACAAAATATTACAGAAAAATATTCACATTTTTATCAGGCCTCCGAAAACCCCGCTCGAATTTACATAAAGAGTTAAACTCACTCGAATTTAAGTGAATGGGCTCCTGGGAACAGAAACAAATCGTGCTGACTCAATTTTTCTATGTCGGTCGAATATTTTCTCTTTTTTGAGTGAGGGCAAAATTCGTTCAAATTCGATTCTGCCAAACATTCTTTTAGTTTTTGTGCGACTGCAAAATCTAGAAAATTTTTAGAATTTTTGTCCATTTTAAACCCTAAATATTGTGCGAACATCTTCCAAAACGATAGGCTTCTATTCTGGTCCTAACCTTAAACCCATGCAAAATTTCGTGAGGTTCAGGCGATAATTACGACCTGAATTTAATGCTATCAACACATAGTGTTGCAATGTGAAAAAATTATTGCAAAATGTTGAATTCAATGTTGTAAATCAAATTAAAAAATATTATACTATAAAAATAATGACAAAAAAACAATATCACAAAATATTACAGAAAAATATTCACTTTTTTATCAGGCCTCCGAAAACCCCGCTCGAATTTACATAAAGAGTTAAACTCGCACGAATTCAAGTGAATGGGCTCCTGGGAGCAGAAACAAATCGTGCTGACTCAATTTTTCTATGTCGATCGAATATTTTCTCTTTTTTGAGTGAGGTCAAAATTAGTTCAAATTCGATTCTGCCGAACATTCTTTTAGTTTTTGTCAACCCATTGTTGTATTTCTATGTATATGTATTTTTTTCTGTACAAAATTTTGCTCCCGAGTGCCTGATTTTTATTAGCATCTAGTATTAAAGTTAAAATCTATTTCGCCCGCTACGAGGGCAATTCGGAAACTTCTTAGCCTAGCACAAAAAGCGCGGTATAAACAGAAAAAAGTTAAGTGTTTTGGAAATTTCTATCTCTGTTATGGACACATGTTAAATTTTGTTTCGATCTGGCAACTCCTTCATATAGAAACAGTTTTTCAAAAAAGACGCATCCGCAATTTTTTTACAATGAAAATATTAGAAAGGCGTGTCGTTAATTAATATAAATATAAAGCCCGATAGAACTTGAAATTGTAAAAAATGTAAATTGTAATAAATTTTTTTTATTTGAAAGATCAATACAGGGTTGCCCATATTCGACGGACCTTTGGGCCCTTTGGGTCCATTCCAATCGATGTCATGCAAATCAATGCGAATAATCCGTTGTAAAGTGGACCGAGCCATGCCCAACTGCTGAGAACGGTGTTTTTGGGATGTTCTTGGGGACCTCTCAACACTGGCTCGTACGGCAGAGATATTCTCGGCCGATCGCCTTGGTCGACTTTTATATGGCCTCTTCGGATTAGAAAGAGCCCTACCAGTCGAAAATTTTTCGTATAAACACTTAATGGTGTTCTTAGAAGGCGCACTTCTCACATTTTTTTAAAAGCACGTTGAGTTTCCACAATTGTCTTCTTCTGTTGAATGTAAATTTCAACTATTTCAGAGCGCTCGCATGGCGTTTATTGGTTCATGGTAAAAATCTGCTTCGACTGACGCTTCAAACGCGGTATGTCATTAAGCGATGTGACATCTCTGTCAAAAGTTATGGCGTTGCCAGATGGGTCCGTCGAATATGGGCAACCCTGTACTTGACATTAACATTTCGAACATATGGGCACCGCGGTTGTTCTTGACGAAGTGCATTCTGGACGTCCAATTTTTGGCCACTTTTTCGAGCACTGCTGGCCGTATGTCACGAATAACACGAACAATGCTGGCCTCCAAGGCGTCAATTGTTGCTGGTGACTTCACGTAACCACGTAACCCCACAGGAAATAATCGAGAGGTGTCAAATCGCACGACCTTGGAGGCCAATTGACAGGTCCACTTCGCGAAATCAACTTATCGCCAAATTTTGATTTCAATAAGTCGATGGTTTCGTTCGACGTATGGCACGTAGCGCCATCCTGTTGAAACCACATCTCCTCGGGATCAATGTCATCCATATTTTTAAACAAAAAATCATTGATCATGGTGCGGTAACGATCTCCATTGACCGTAACGCGAGCTCCGGCTTCATTTTTGAAGAAATATGGTCCGATGATGCCACCAACGTGAAAACCACACCATACGGTGAATTTTTCTGGATGTAATGGAGTCTGTTGGGTGTCTTGTGGATTGGTCTTACTCCATATGCGGCAATTTAGCTTATTAACAAACCCGTTAAGCCAAAAATGCGCCTCATCGCTGAACACAATTTTGCGATAAAACAACGGGTCATTTGCCAACTGCTCTAGAGCCTGATTTTCAAAGTAAATTTGGATAATTTCGTAGTGTTGTTCAAGCGTGAGTCTATTCATGATGATTTGTCAGAGTATACTGAAACAAATAAAAAAAGTTTCATCAAAATTTAATTTTTTGTGTTACTTTTTACAATTTAAAGTTCTATCTAGCTTCAGAAAACACCCTTTATAATAGTATGGTGAATGTGTTAGGTGAAAGTGCTCCTTCATAAGCAACAGTAAAAAATTGGGTTGCTGATTTTAAACGAGGTCGTAAAAGCATTGAATATGAACCACGCAGTGAACGTCCTAAAACAGCAACAACAACAGAAATTGTAGCCGAAGTACATGATATGATATTAAATGGTCGACGAATTTTTATGCGTGAAATTACTAATATCATGGGCATCTCAAATGATCGAGTCCATTTAATTTTACATGAAGAACTACATATGAAAAAGCTTTCTGCAAGAAGGCTGCCGCATTTGTTAATAGTCGATCAAAAACGCATAAAAATGAACAAGCTTGTTTTGGATCGTTTTAGGCGAAATTTTAAACGTCGTTTCATAACTGTTAGTGAGACATGGATACACCACTATACTCCAGAGACAAAAGAACAATCCAAACGAGGCAAAAACAATTCGATCGGCTTTTTTGGACTCCAAAGGTATTTTATTGATTGGCTATATGCAAAAGGGTAAAACAATAAATTCAGAATACTATTGCAACTTTTGGATCAATTAAATGTACAAAGTCGATTTGTTGATAATTATAACCTCTAGAGCGAATGTAAAATCTAGAAATATTTTTGGTTTTGGTACATTTCACCCCTTAAATATTTTGCCATCATCTCCAAAAACAATAGGCTTCTATTTTGACATTAAAACAATTGCGACCTGTAGCGTTATTAATAATATCTCTCCAAACATAACTGGCTGAGTAAATCATACCAGAAAATTAATGAGATACAATTATTTAAAAAAAAGGTTGAATAATTCAAAAATGACAAGCAAACATCAAGACAAATAGCAGATCAATATTAAATAGATTGATGTATATTTTAAAATGTCACATAAAAAGACGATTAAACATTGACAACACAACCAGATTATTAAAACAATTTATTCTTTCTCTTCTGCTTGTGCGGTAACATTTGTTCTAAACAAGCAAAAAAAACAAGTTAAAAATCAGTAAGTTCGGCCGGGCCGAACTTTGAATACTCTCCACCATTTGGAACGAATTTGGAAGTTTTCAAAAAATAAAGTCCTTAAAAAATTCTGTTAAAATTTTAAAAATACCGAATATAGCCGTTATATTGGGGTCTATACGACGTGGACCTACGTAGTCCTTGTTTGTCATAAGCCATTACCATATCCAAATTCGAATCTTGAAATAAACGGTGAATAATGTAGTTAAAATCATCAAAATATAGTATATAGGGAGGTACAGTTATATCGGAGCAGTGCGAAGACCTAGACCAACATAGACAATTTTCTGTCACAGGCTATAGCATCCATTACGAACGTCAAATACGACATTTCAAAAAATTTCGGTGGGTATTGTACCTACCGAATATAGAGAGGTACTGATAAATTCAATTCAAAATTCAGACAATTTTCTGTCACAGACTGTAATTTCCATTACGAACTCTAAATGCGTAATTTGAAACAATTCTGTTAAATAATGACGCTAAAATCATCAAAATACTAAAGTTTGGGAGGTACCGTTATATGGGCGCTATACGAAGACGTGGACCTATACAGACAATTTTCTTTCATAGGCTGTAGTATCCATTACGAATCTCAAATACAACATTTGAAACAATTCCGGTGAATAATGTCGCTAAAATCATCAAAATACCGAATATCTGGAGGTA